CTCTCTCTGTCTCTAACTCTCTCTGTACTTTATCTGAGTTTATTAGTGTAGCATCAGTTGGACAGGAAAAGCTATTTTTTCACTTCCTATTTCACGTGTAGCAGTAAAGTTGTACAATTTGAGAGGATGCAATGTTTATTTGATCTTACATGTTACTGAGCCGGTGATTCTAAATACAGATTTTTATTTTTATTGTTACTATAAAGTTTGCATGTGTTTTGTGAATAACTTACCTTACTTACGCTTACACAAGTTTATTCTTAACCTGGAAATGATGACAAAACAATCTCACCACAAAGTCCTTTTAGTAGCTGCTCTGGAACTTTTCACTATACAGTTTGACCAGATGTCAAGGAATTTAACAACAGTTACTAAATCGACTTTGAAAGTGAGATTGTTTTGTTGTTCAGGCTTAACTAATATTACAAATTACTTCAGAGTGCTATTTGCAGATTTGGAGTACACATTTACATTCTGTAAAAACAAAGTCTGTACACTTTTAACTAGATATGAAGCTTTGAACATGACCTTTTTGCAGTCACATAGTAGTATTAATAAAAACATTTATTTATACAATGTATTGATGATATTGATGTAATGTATCAAAACCAGAGATTACAAAGTAATTTACAAGGAAAAACACACACACGAGAATATAAGTTATACATACAAACATAAATGTTACAGATGTAATACATAGGCACAATACATATGCCAACTTACATAAACACATAAATACACATTACAAATTAGCCTTATTTAAAAAGGGGACAAAACAAAAGTCTTTCAATGAAAAATACATGTTCAGAAGTCATTTAAAAGTGCACACTGATTTTGCAATTCAGGCAGAAATTGATATTCCCTAACTGCAAAAGTTTGGTCCTTTTCAGATGGAGACAGGTTCCTGCCTGAGGACCTCAGACTGGTTGAGTTACAGAGTAATTCAGAAAATAATCTAATGAAATATAATAATGTGTTGCACAGATTGAATATGTGCTGGCATGCCCGTATGATACAGTGTGTCGTGAGTACGAAAGTAAAGACAACTAACAACATTTACTGAAATCGGCCTGCTGTAGTTTTGCTAAATATTCTGCAGAGGGCACCGTTTAGATGTAATTTGAATGCGAAAAGCACACCTACAGTGCAGCATACAGAACAGGTCCTGTGTTCAGTGAAGCAATGTGAAGTCAAGCAATCGTGGTGTGTCAACAGTAATACAACAACCCCTGATAAGTGCCGGGGCTGACTTTTTACTATGTGATCATGGGACAAGCATCAACTCTAAGGACATTTTGTTTGAGCCCTCATATCTATATTTATTTATTTTTTCCTACATTGTAAGTGAATGTGCTGAGACTTCAGTACTGAGTGAAAGTAAAAAAGTAAAAGGACTCAAGAGGGAGATACACCTCCCAGCTGTTTATGTGGTTTTTATGGTGGACAATAACTCAGCAGAGAAAGGCTGTCATTGTACTTCAGGAAGCAGCAGAAAGCCAACTCTGTATTAGTGCCGAGTTTTATTACATTTTACTGGCCTCTATGCAGCACAGGGCTTTCTATCAGTAGCAGACATGCACACAGGGAATGTTATTTGTTAATTTTTCTTTCATACACACAGACAAAAGTAAGATGATATGCAAGGATATTGACGAATTTGAGGGTTTCAAAGTCTGCATGACGTCAAGCTCATATTCATGTCATATGAGTCATAGTTAACTCTTCCTGTCTGGTCACACGCAAGCACACGCACACATACTGAAGATATTCAGCTTCAGATAATGGCATTAGGCAGATCTGTTTGAATAAGAGGCAGAATAACGATAAGAGGCCCGAGTGATGTGAGTTCAACATGCTAATGAGTGGCACACTGGCTTGTGGCAGCCTCACCCTGCGTATCTCTGTGTGCATATATGACACAGTGAATTATGAGTCAGGTCTACATTAAATGACATTCGCAATCTTGAAACTCATGATACAGTAATTGCCCGTTTAATACAGCCCCATGCAGTGTCTCTGGCGTATTAGCTAAAGGAGTGTATGCAGAACATGAAGGTGTGTGCTGAAATCTAAGACCGTGGGAGGTGTTGGCATCACCCTGTAAATTTGCCAGCCGGTTTGGGTTCATAACTTAATTTGATCTGATGCAATGCACTTCATTAATTTAGTAAGTCATGACTAAAGCGGGGATTTGTGTCAGCTAGCAAATCATCTTCAGTAGATTATGACAAAGAAAAATGTTTGATGCTCACTTTAGACAGTTCACATACCTCAGTTAGTGGCTTTACAGGAACACTTGTTAACATAAACCACAGCCTTATAAAATAATTCACCTTTCAAGGGCAAAAGCAAATGTGACCTCTTGCCGGACCAACTGTATATGGCAAAACATTCAGACAACAACACAAAACAAAGCCTACATTACAGGTTTATAGATAGATAGATAGATA